TACATTTTCCGGACTCGCTTTAGTACATATATAATGTGCGGTAAGTGGAGGTGGAAAAAGCATGAATAACAAATCTTTATTGAGTTTTCTGCGTGATACTGTGTAAAAGTATTCTATAGAAAATTGGACTTTAAGAAACCGGACAGCAATCAAAATTTCCTGCAGAAATCCCCACAAACACGGCCACACATAGAAATATGAAAAAAACAATGAATTCGGGTAAGGTATTAGCAAATGTAATCAGCAAGAATGATCAAATTATGGGATGAAAATTTTCGCAAAACAAAAAAAAAGAGCAGAACCTCAAAACTATTCGCCATAAATGAACTCATCCCAGCCCTCCATCTCTTACTGGTCTGAATAAGTTGTACCGTCTCATTGGTTCAAAAGTCGAAGATTGGTATGTGGGGTTTAACGTCTCAAAACCACCACATGATTATCAGAGACGCCGTAGTGGAGGGCTCCGAAAATTTGGACCACCATGGGTTCTTTAACGTGCACCCAAATCTGAGCACACGGGCCTCAGCATTTTTGCCTCCATCTAAAATGCAGCCGCCGCAGCCGGGATTCGATCCCACGACCTGCGGGCCAGCAGCCGAGTACCTTAGCCGCTAGACCACCACGGCGGGCCATAAAAAGTCGAAGACCACACGAATGTTGCGAAAGTGCGATTAAAGTGCTATATGTAAAATCGAGCTGAGTGAGGAGGAGGATTGAAAGAGGAAAAACAGGGAGGTTAGCCAGGAGCTGAGTGACTAAGCTGCAATACATAGTAAAGCTAAAAACGTATTGCGACCTTCAGCTCTCCCAAAGAGGTGATGTGGAGCAACAGTCTGGTCATGTCGTTCATGCTTAGGAATGCGCTCTTTCCAGTAACGTGCACTGAATCTGTACGCATCTATAGTGGCCCACCAAGGTACGTTGGTGGAATACGAAATATTGCAGCAATAATGCGTGGTACAAGCGTACAATTCCAATGGGCACCAGAATATGCGATTATCATAATGACTTCACGGTTTAAAGCCGTTCACTCCTTACAAAAGGCCCACATGATACTGCGCCTATTCCCTTAAGGCCACGTAGTAGGTGCATAGCAAGTTCGAAAACGTTTCATGCACCAAGTGTTCGAAGTACGCAGGGACAGAATGTCGCTATTGCGTTCAAATGTGGAGCTTAAGAGTCCGCAATTCTTCGCTTGTTCTTTTTGTACGCCGATGTACAAACAGAAAGGCAGGCGTAGCTCAACTAAAGCAGATCGGTATCACCGCAGGAGGGCCGAAACCCGCAGTTTGAGCAGAGTATACATCAACGCACAAGCCCACGCCGAGTAGCTATCGAAGGCGTCAGGGTGCGCTCTTCCGGAAAAAAAGATGAAGTGGGCCATGGTCCAAAAAACTCGCCCCGAAGCCAGCACGCCGCTGTCCATCCAGCCTTGTCAGCTCGATGCTCGGCGGGTGAAAAAAAAAAGAACCTTTTCTTGGTTAACCCTTTCATTTCCTTTTCGTTCGCGTAACGCGCCACTTCACTTTGGACGCGGAAGGAAACGGACACGGGAGCGGTAAAAGAGTAGAGCTTGTCTTCGGTCATGCCTTGGCGCGCGCCCTGTTCCCGAGGCGCCGCAACGGCTGATAGAAGTACGGGGATCAGAGTGTGCCTTTAGTTGCTTTCGCACTTACGGTGGTCAAGCGGGCTTCTCTTGGTATCGGCCCATAGTTATTCCAAACAGCGCAGAAACAGGATACAAATGAGATCCGAGGGAGCACGCCAACAATGTCAAGCAAAAGCAAGGTAGCACCTTGGCGCCACACTGCAGCACACCGAATTTCAATCAAGTAACCCTCATCAGAATGCATTCGGACCAGCGCACACGCGAGATCGTTCAAGCGTTCCTTATCAAGCGGGGCCCTTCTCTCGTTAATTCCCCGTCCATCCAGTTACTTGACAAGGAAAAAAGGATATCAGCAAGATTAATACCATCAATACCATGTAACCTCAAGTCACCCTTTTTGATATGTTTGTCACATGTTTTCTTTAGTCTTTATCTACTTATGTATATCGCGTTCGTGCAAAAAAAAAAAAATCCCTGTTTGTAGTCAGCGCCTCGCTTGTGTAGTCTCAACTGTGTCTCGTTTCCACGCTGTCCGCAATAAATATGTGGATTTAGAATTTCGAATAATAACGTTTATATATTTTTAACGTATGTTCGATGTCTTAAGTACTTCCCTACGGTAAACACCTGATTACTGCAAATTATTTTTGCGGAATCCCGCAGGTGTCGGAAAGGTTATGAAAAGAATAAATGGCAACCACCCTTTCATAACCACTTTCGTATCCCTTTCATACCTTTTGATAGCCCTTTCATATCTCCGCAATACCATTCATAGCTCACCACCCTGCAACTTTATATGTCCATGTGCTTCTAGTTGTTGACCAATCCTCCCTCGCACTGCCAGATTAACTCCATCAGTAGAGCGACCGCCATGTAAAGGCGTTGTCTAGGGTTCAAACCCCGAGGAATACGTATGAATTTAATTGTGACTTAGTGCAACCAATGCATGGTAGTCAATTATGTCTTCCACACTCGCTGCCTACTGCAACATCAAATTTAAAATACTGCAGTCGATTGCGAACTCCGCACCCCAGCAAGCACTACACATTTACTGCATTCTTTTTGGCATCCACATGGGTTTTTCACCAAGGGAACATTTTAATGTCACTCCAATAGCCGGTGACAGGATAAAGAAATAGCTATACGCTAAGGTAACAGAAGAACGTTTATATGGCATAATGGTGCACTAGCGGCAGATTCAGAACCTTGGTTCATATAGGGAATATGCACCAGGATCGGTAATTCGGAACACGAGATGTATGACGAACGTAAATGGCAGGTGTTGACAAGTGAATCATGACTTACATGTCATGAACAGCATCATGACTTACATTCCTCGCTTATGGTGCGCTCGCGTCCGGTACCTACATCGCTCTTCTGACGAGCGTCCAAGTTAATTTCGGCGAGGAAGCGGAAACTACACCGCCACCTGGATCGGGATTACGACGATCCGCCGAGACAAGCGTCCTTCCGCACCGAATCGCCTTGCGCTTGGTCTCGAATGACTGAGAACGCCTCGCCCGAACACCACATTATACAGAAAGAGTGCCCGCGTATCTGTTTTGAATTTCGTTGCACTGGTAACACCAACGACAGGCTCTTGTGAGTCGGCAGTGACTTTAATCCCTGCTGGAATTCCCATGTGACCACTTCGAAGAAGCGCGTAACAGCCATCTCCCAACCTTTCAACTTCCTCAGGGGCAAAAAGCGGGGCACGTCAGTACACGCAATCTTGCAGCTATACAGGACGTTGTTCCTGCGGTACCTGCGGTACAGCTTGCCTGTTTTGACGAACACCTGCAAAAGTAGCATACGTACAATCTAAGACGCCCAGGGTCAGGCACTATCGGATTACCACGCTGCACATCCACAGCGGAGACCATCGCAATCGCCAAAGATCATGCGGCCTCAGTGCACAGTACTTCAGAGGTACTTCGAGCGCATATTAGGCACCTTGCTCACGCCCCTGCCCACCACCTTGCTTCGCTTCTAGAAGACCGACCGAGTGCCTCCTTCTGTAAGAAAGTACCGAGTTACCGCAAGAGCCTTTCAGCAGGCCACACACCTTCGGAGCGTATCCTGACACCTCCTTGGTTTTTAGACCATCCAAACCTACGCTTGACAATGCAAGGAATTCGCAAAAAGGTGGATCTTTCGACACGAGCTTTGAAGCAGCTGACTCTACATATGCTGCACGAAGGATACAAACACCACGTTAGACTTTATTGCATTCACTTTTGTTATGAATGCTAAACCATTTTGTTTTCCCATTACACCTTTCTGCGTCCCTCGGTTTTTTTATCGATCGATTTGAATTAATGAGTGAAGCTAGCACAAAACCCTCACATTTCTATTTATTTATTTATTTATTTATTTATTTATTCATTATTTATATATTTATTTATTTATTTATTTAGAAGAATACTGCCATTTTGAATGCTAAAATTTTGGCAGGGGTGGGCGGCACAATGAACAACAATATGCAGGAAGTACAAAAAAAAATGATGAGCAGAATATGCAGCATAAATAGTGTTTCGGACAAAAAAAAGAACGCGTTGATCTACAAATAAAAAAGCAGCAAATATAGTCCGTAATTGACGTGCATACAAAGCAATACTAAAAGCTGCACAAAAGTAGTACACAGCAGGTTTCGCTGTACGAGTACAAAAAGATATAAGTACAAGTACAATAAGCAACAATGCAAAAAGTACATCAGGGCAGGTTAATTACAGACGTGCCAAACATTTGGATTAAGATGGGCACAAGGGCAGAGTGCACCATGAAGGAAACGAGAGTGTAGCTATTAGACAGGGTGACGCGTGGAGAAATGATTTCAGCTCGATACTTTTTTTTTTTCAGAACTACCAGACACACATCAAGTACTTCCGACCAATGTATATCAAACAACGCGATTACGCCACATCATTCATCGATGCCCTCGTCGATCCACTGCCCGAATTCGCGGCGGTGCGCTACGTCGTGCAGAGCATGCAGGAAAGCTCGTTTCACTGCACACCCGCTGCGCTCCTCGTGCAGGCGAAAGCGTGCACGCCCGCAAGGGAGGGGGGGGGGGGGGGGGCGCTTCCTCGCGCAGAGCACCCATACGCCCCTCATCAGTGAGAGCACAACAGTCCGGCGGCGGGCAGGCAACCCGAGAGCCGAAACGTCGGCCAGCGAAAGTCAAAAAAGCGAGGTGGCGGCGAGTCGTCGTGCGTCGCTGCGTCCGCTCGGGAAAAGAAAACACAAGCGGCGGCGAGATTGGCGCGCACTTTCTTTGGGCAAGGGTCGAAAGAATACGGTGCGAGAGCAAGCGTAGCGCGCCGCCGCTGGACGGGTTGAGACGCTAAGGAAGGAGGGAAAGGCGGCGGCAAGTGAAAGTACCACCGCAACCGCCAAAGCACCGAACTGGGTCAGCGACGTCAGGCTGTGTGTGCCGCCGCCGCCGAGCGCTCGCCTCCTGCGCTGCGCGACCGTGCACCGATCGCCGTGCTCTCTCCAAGTCGACGACGACCAGATCGGCGCACGCTACTGACGCTGTAACCGTGCAGCGAGCAGGTCGCGAGTGCGCCAACTTGCCTCGGTGAAGAGAAAAGGCCACGACGAGAAGCGAAAAGTCCCGCGAACCGTTCTTGACCTTTTTCTTTGTTTTTGTGCGCCAGACGACGACGACGACGAGAGAGGCGTCGACTGTCGTCTCGACGATGGGTGCGCAGCGCAGTGCCCGCTGGATAATATGAGTGGCCCGAGCGGATTGCACGACTCGCACGAAGCCGTCGGCAGCACGGAGAGCGGCCCGAGGCCGCCACAGGGAGCAGCAGGACCGCCGATAGCGCGGTGGCCCACGGGGTGAGTTACCGTCTAACTTACGGCACGATGACCATAGTCGCCGATTCCAACACTAAATAGTACTAATAAATTAAATCGGCCGAACCTCTCATCAAGGGCAGTGTCGACTCTATTTACATTCTTAATTGCTTTGTTATTGCGTATGCCTTAATCTATTTCTTTTCAGTTAGTTCAGTGGAGTGTTCACTATATGTGGGGTGAAATATCTTAGCAAAGTTCTCAGTACATTCCACACGGCCGATGGTTATCCATGATTATTTTCATCGCTCCAGCTCAAGGAAAGAATATAAAAAAATATAGATTCCATATTAACTACTTCAGTCTTGTGAATAACACAAGTCAAGGCTCCTTTAGGAGTTCCTAAATTACGCTTACATTAAAAACTTCAGATGAGTTTCCCTTGGCTTGATTATCCATTTGCCTCTATAGATTATCTAATCGAAATCAGGCACCTGGTTTTCCCCTCTCATTTCTTGCATAGCGAGGATATCGGTCCTGGCAGGTTCGACTTCTTCGGCTAACACGCGTGGCTTTGTTGCTGAGCTTGCCTTAGCAGTTGACGTCTATAAGAAAGGTATACGGCGAGCTTTAATTCTGCCTTGACAACCAAAGAGCCTCTAGTCCAAGCGACATGTATTTCTCAACATCATAGTTCTGTGGAAACGCACATGCTGGTCGGCCGAACTAATTAAGTAGAATGAATGGAGAGGCATGCTTCTTTAGAAACAGCCCAGTCTGTCAGATGAGTTTGCTCATCGAGGTCGATGGGGGTGATGCTTAATTACAATAGTAATTAAAATAGGTTAGTTATGATTTAACTCTTCTGTGTCACCGCGTGCAGTAGTGAATGAATGTTGCAAAAAACAAATGAAGTTCAGAGTACAAGTGTTTATTGTGAAATAATACTGAACATAAATTAAAAAAACAAACAAAAAAAACTCGTCAAGCACGCTCCGAGAGCGACACAGCTCGCGCTAAAATTGAACCTAACATTGGTTGGTAGGTGGCCGTGATCTCTGAAAATGTGTGCGGATATTGACAACGCACTGGAGGTTGCGAATCGAGACAATCAGGAATGATTACGTACGTTAAGAAAAGAATAATAACTGAACAGCATCGATAAGAAAGGGGCAGGGAAATTTTTCAGTGTTCAAGCGCATAGAAAAGTCACCGTATAACAAAAAATACAGCCCACACAGCTACTCCATTTTAGCAGCGTGTCCCAATTGAAAGTTTGTGAAATCGCTCACTCCGTCCTGCACACCACAGAAAACCTCCTGAAATATTTCATTCTCTTCAGCCCTGCGCACGGAGAGTTGGCTCTGTAAACTGGCAATGATAAGCGTCTGCGTTATTATAGATACATCATTTTCCAGCGTGCAAATTGGCAAGCAAGTCTAACTCTCTAATTAGATCGTCTGTGTGAAAAACTTAGTCAATGCGTGCATGCGAGAACGATGAGGGTGTGTCTTGGAAGTCACGCGGGAGCATACCTTGTGATTATACTCAGCATCGACTCGCACATCTTGCAGCGCACTTTACTGATGCCACAACCGGTGCCTGTTTTTACGCTGGGTTGCATGTTCGCCCCTTTTGCGTGCAGGGTAGCAAACCGGCTGCCTATAGACTGGTTAACCTCCCTGCCGTTATTTGCCTGCTATTTTACTTCCGTGCGTCAAGCGTTCTGCAAAACTCGTTCAAACGAAGCTGGGAAATGTTGCTTTTCTTCGTCATCTACTACACCTTTACCTTCGCCATCTCCTTCTTCATAGACCTTTTACCGCAAGACACCTGGGTACCGCCCGCCATCATGGGCTGTTATGCCGATGTATTCTCGTTTTCTCATATCGCTACGTGAATTAACAAGGCCTTGAAACATCGTATACACCAATCTAACCATTTTCATGTGTTTGCGTCTACCCCAACACTGTTATTTTAGTTGTTAAAAATGCGAACAACAAAGTCCAACAGTCCATTATGGCGGCACTCGAGCCAATCCGCAAAATAGTCTTTGTATCCCCGTGCATACCGTCAAGACGTATCTAAATATATACGCACTCGAATTCTCGCAGCAAGGTTACCTGTGAAACGAACATAATGGTCATTGAAACATCATCTCAGCAATATTAAGCATGTTGCGAATTTTAGTAACTTCCGTCTTGCATAAGAAATTGAAAAAAAAAAAAGACATGTATAGAAAGTGCATGCTACAGAGTACTTTTTTTTATTTCCCGCATGGAACTCTTTGATGTGGCGCCGGAATATGTCTTTGTTTAGCTATTTATTTATAAACACCGTGTGCAACAAATGCGATGAACGTTGTTACTGGTGATACAGCGTTTCTTTCCTTTTTCCTTATTATACACGGAGACGTACGTGAGAACGACGTCGATAAAGCCTTTATAGCATTTCTGTCACTCTTATTATTCACTGCAGATAGAAAAACAGCAGCACGTTGAGCACTGTTGCGTAACAAGTACTTCCGGAAAAAGACTGTTTCTATTTCTAGACTTTAGCTCAATTAGAGCGAACCACCCATTTCATGGCCGAGCCCTGTTGGCTAATGTGTGCCAAATGCGTTTAGGAAACAGCAATAATTTTATTTATTTCTTCCCTCGATCGTTTCATCGCCAGAAAAGGAATGAGAAAAAAAAATCTGCAACGATTACGATACTGCCTAATGGAAATTCTGCGCGCAGCTTGGTGTTGGGACGAGGCCAACTGTGTTTGAAGTTTCGGCTTTGCGCAAGGTATCGGCTGTGCCATCAACCAAAATTTCTGTGAAGTAGGGCAGCACCCACTACACCAATATCCACGTTTTGTGGATAAGCGGGGTACCTGCTACACGGGTGTAAAGTGTTATGTGCACTTTACTGATGCTGCACGTGACTGATGACGATGAAGAATTACGACTAAGCATTTTGCAGTGGGTGGGAAGTGGCGAAGCCACACACAAGTCGTTGCGCAATCAGCACTTTGTGGTGACAGTTATTTTTTTTCTGCTCTTGTGCCACGCCATATCACATAGGCTAACGAGATCCCCTGCCCGACATGAAGCCTGTATAGGGTCCTTTCGCAAATGACTGCTAAGCACCAGCGTGGTTCTGTTGTAGAATACTAGACTGCCAAGAAGAGGGCCCAAAAGAAATTCTGTTCGATTACTGGGTATTTTTTATTTTTATTTTGTTTGCTTAGTTATATTTTAATGTTTACCGGTTACACCACCGACGGCAACGGTGGCGCCGCTTAACACAACAACGGTCGTCTAAGAGTTTTTTCTCTTAAAAACAAAAGAACGAAGCGATGTATTACGGAATGGAAGGGAACACGGCAAGTGAGTGCTCACTGCGCAGCGCCGAGCAATTACTGCACTCAACTTCCTTTCCCTGTGGATAATCGAGACGAGAACACACATGACACTCGCGCACACATCCTCATTCGCGGCGCCCAGCAAAGTAGCCGGCGCCTTCCTAAAACACACACGCGGAAACGTCGCAAAGTAGCCGAGACCGGTCGCTTAAGTGTGTTTGCCCGACAACAACGCGAGGGGACCGGCCGAAACGCCTTCGGCCCTCGTCTTGTCTGATTAAACAGAACTCCTCTCCAACAGGAGTAACGCTATCCAGGTGTAACGCAGAACGAGCGTTAGGCATCGGGGTGTGCTTCGTAGACGCGACTAGCACGTATCTTGTGTGCGCGCGGCGTATTACAACAGCGCGCTTCCTCGAAAAGCAAACATCCGAAGGCGTGCTATACCCTCTCGAACAAGTGGCCGCTACCTCAGCTGCCGATTCTGCGATATGTCACTCGTGCCGCTGTGCAAGTTTGAACTGGCTTCAACTTCTGACGTAAATACCATGCAGGCCACTCAATTTGTCCCTTTAACTTGTCGCTTTCTGATATTCACGAACTGTATACACGCCTTCATATACAAATGATTAAGATTGGAAACCCACGAGTGCACAGACAATTGAAGGTACTTATGGACTCGAAGGGCAACTAAGACTTACAATCTCACATGGCAACCACATTCCCTGCATCTTGAAGACCCCTTCACCTGTCTACAGAACATCTGACGTCCAGTGTGGTAGGAGTCGTCCTTGGCAGTACGTCGTTGGCTAATACGTAGGCAATATCAAATATCTTTGAGCAGCCAAATGATTGGGTGCGACTTCAAGTATTCCCGACCGTGCCTCTTTGCTTGGCTACATCGACGATTTTAGGTGATAAAATTTCGAAAGTACAAATACAAAATGCTTATAAAAAATTAGGCGACCTGAAAAATTGGTCTGGGAGTTCAGTGGTGTCACAACTTGTGCATCATAAAAAGAAAGAAAGTTTCTGCGATTGTGACGAAAGCTTCTACTGCAAACCTTACACCATCTACCATATTGACAACTCCGCCGTAGCGATAAAGTGTTTCCTGCATTTGAGCACGGGCTCGTGATTGAGACAAAAAAAAAAAAAATAAGGAAACATCACTATATAGATGCGGCATCCCACAATCTTGGTCAGCCACACTGGTCGTCGCATTTCTATGCTTACGAACAGTTCCATCACATATTTTTTTATTTTATTTGTGGGGTTTAACGTCCCAAAACCACTACATGATTATGAGAGACGCCGTAGTGGAGGGCTCCGGAAATTTAGACCACCTGGGGTTCTTTAACGTGCACCCAAATCTGAGCACACGGGCCTACAACATTTCCGCCTCCATCGGAAATGCAGCCGCCGCAGCCGGGATTCGAACTCGCGCTATGCGGGTCAGCAGCCGAGTACCTTAGCCACTAAACCACCGCGGCGGGGCCATCACATATTTCGCGAACATTGATTGCTTCGTTGGTTTTCAACTTACCTGCTCCACCTTTTACGCTGAGGCCACGGTTTTATTTTTTTAAAGACACCGGCGAAAAAGTGCACAGTGCTTCTAGTTTCGGCTTCCGCACTCCTCAGAGGAAGCGTTTCATCCTAGCTGCTTCCGCAGATGCCGAATTCACCAC